GTGTGTGTGTGTGTGTGTGTGTAATCCTGCAGGTGGGGGACAGCCCTCTACACGTGGCCGCGGCCTTAAATCATAAGAAGACAGTTCGTCTTCTGCTGGAGGCCGGAGTCGACAGTCGAATCTGCAACAATGTGAGGGCCTGGACCCCGGCTCTGTGGGGCTGGACTCTGTGGTGGGACCGGGTTCTGTGGGACCGGGCTCTGCCTGCTTTACTCTGTGGAAATGTCTGTGTTAATGTTTGACCTGTAGGGTGAAACGGTGGTGTGGTGGTTAGCACTGTCGCCTCCCAGCAAGAAGGTCCATCCATCCATCCATTATCAATACCGCTTATTCCCTGATGGGGTCGCGGGGGGAACTGGAGCCTATCCCAGTGGTCAACGGGCGAGAGGCGGGGTACACCCTGGACAGTCCCCAGTCCATCACAGGGACACACACAGGACATACAACCACTCACACTCCTAAGGGCAATTTCCCCAATCTCCAATCAGCCTAACATGCAGGTTTTTGGACAGTGGGAGGAAGCCGGAGAACCCGGAGAGAACCCACGCAGACACAGGAGAACATGCAAACTCCACCCAGAAAGGTCCTGGTTCCCCCGGGATTCGAACCCAGAACCTTCTTGCTGGGAGGCGACAGTGCTAACCACCACACCACCGTGCCGCCAGCATGAAGGTTCTGGGTTCAAATCCCGGGGGAACCAGGGTGGGCATGTTCTCCTGTGTCTGTGGGTTCTCTCCGGGTTCTCCGGCTTCCTCCCACAGTCCAAAAACCTGCATGTTAGGTTGTTGGAGATTGGGGAAATTGCCCTTAGGAGTGAATGTGAGTGTGAGTGGTTGTGGGTCCTTGTGTGTCTCTGTGTGTCCCTGTGATGGACTGGCGGACTGTCCAGGGTGTACCCTGCCTCTCGCCCGTTGACCACTGGGATAGGCTCCAGTTCCCCCCACGACCCAATGAGGGAATAAGCGGAGAGAAGAAGAGAGGAGAATAGGAAGAGAAGAGAATAGGAATAAGCCAGGCAGGGGTTCTTTCCCCCCTGGCTTTGGCCCTCACTGCATGCTTACCCTGTCTGTCTGGTCCCCGTCAGAAAGGCCCCCCCAGTGCTGATCAGCTCCCCCCAGTACGGCACATTAGTTACCGGCGTCGCATTCCTTTTGTCTGCATACTGTTCATTTTTAGGACACTCAGACAGAGGGTGGTACAGCCCTGCTGGGTTCCCCAGAGGAGCCAGTGGTGGTAGTAGTGACCCCCCCATCATTAACACCCACCGTGGGTTGGTTAGGCAGGGCCAACGGCAGCAACACTTTGGACAGGTCATCTCTATTCCAGGAGGAACAGAGGGAGAACTACAGGCACCATGAGTCCAGACTGGCAGACTGACCAGAAGGGTCAGGAATGGTCTCAAACTAGGATGAGGCATCTTCTTACCATCAGGGGTCCCATTGTGGGGCTCTGCTTGCACAGAGGCACCTCCTTCAGGCTGGTGGGAATGTGGCTTTACACAGTTGGTGATGGCTGGTGCCGACTGAACCCTGACCACCAGCAGGGTGCTTTTGTGCTCTTCAGGGACCATTTTTCCCTGCCAAACTCTAATAATTCGTATTAAACTAATTAGAGAAACATATTTCTGTAGTTGGCTGCTGAAGGCAAACTGCCTAAAGATGTCATTCAGAAGTATCTTTTCTCAGTAGGCTGGAGACATAAAACGGCTCATATTTACTACCAAATTAGGGCCGAATAACAAAGAAATTAGGTCTGATCTTACAGATAGACACACACTGAAGCTCAAACCCCTGAAATTCAGTTGGCAGACACAAGTTTACTGTGTGGAACTGTAACATAGAGGGGTAGCATTCCTGTTCAAAGCTTTTTGCAAACCAAAAAGGGGGGGGGGGGGTGATTAGAGACTCCTACTAAACACCTTTCCTGGTGAGTTGTTCTATGTTATCTACACATCTCTTTTTTTAATAGCTGTCCTCTTAATCACTTCAGTCAAATCTTTAACTTTCCAAAATAGGCTGCCCCTCATATCAACACAGGTTGATCTGAGTGCATCTTTTTGCAGTGAGCTGGAAACTGTTCACAAATTGTCCCTTATTGGTCTGGAGTGAGCTTTACAGTCACATTCTCTGTGTGGTCATCTCATTTTCTCTTAGACATGATAGCCTCATGTCATGTGCTAGCTTCAACATCTCATCTCATCTGTTTCGGATGGAGCTGCATGTTCCTCTTCAGTCATGGATGTTACATGCCAAGTGTAAACTTCCCTTTGGTTTGAGACCTGGTACACTCCAGGATTTTGGAGTTGTGCTCACAGCTTGTTTGTTAGGGTTAGGGTTAGGGTTAGTATTTCTGATTCTGATTCTGATCTGATTAACTGAAGAAGTTGATATTAACCTCCTGAGACCCAAAGAAAAAAAGTGTCTTCAAATTTCTTTTTTGTTGTGATTTTCCATGTATTTGGACCTAAAAAAGAACATTACAATTTAATATATTTTTTAATGTTTTTAATTTTAATTTCATAGCATGTCCACTGTGGAGGACAACAGGACGATTTGCATGGGAAAATAGAACAGGCATTAGATAATTAAATAATAAAAAAGAACATGTCTTGAAAGGGATATTTACCTGAGAACTCTTAGGAAAAAAGTAAAGTTCCCAGCATGCAAAGCTATCACATGGCACATACCTGGAAAGCCCAGGATGTGCTCTACAGAACACTATAGGGCTGATAGGGTAACTCCAGATACTTAGGGGGGGTACAGGTGGACAAAATGTCCACTATAATGGACCTAAATGAATGGGCCGGGTCTCAGGAGGTTAAAGTGCCAATTTAGTCCTGAAGTTGTTCTAAAGATGAGTGTGCGGGTGTGTTTACATTAAGCCTTCTGTGTGTGTGTCCTCACGCCTGCTGTTCCAGCTGTGTGCTCAGACCCAATTTAAAATGAAGACATGATCGGGGCCTGATGGAGATGCAGTGTGAACAGAAGTGTGTGTTTTAGGCGTGTGTGTGTTTCCACAGGCGGGCCTCACGGCGTTGGACCTGGCCCGAGAGCACAACAACCCCGAGGTGGCTCTGCTTCTCACCAAAGCTCCTCAGGTAACAGGGTCAGCCGCCTCTGGCCCATTATAGTCAGGTTGATTCCAACTGATCCTTGTCATCATTACATTGGCTGCCTGTTTCTTTATCGAATAGATTTTAAGATTCTTTTATTAACTTATAAAGCCTTAAATGGATTAGCTCCCCCGTATCTTCTGGAACTTTTAAAATTTCAGCCCGTGTCCAGAACCCTACGCTCTAATAATCAGCTTTTACTGACAGTTCCTCGGACCCGATTAAAGAGGAAAGGAGATGGGGCTTTTTCTGCTGTTGCTCCTTCTCTTTGGAATGATCTACCTTTCCAAATTAGATCTGCCCACAGCCTGGATCATTTTAAATCTCTTCTTAAAACTTATTTTTATTCCTTGGCATTTAATTGAATTAGTTTGATACCTTGTTTTATTAATTTGTGTTGTTATCATTATTGTACAGCACTTTGGTGCAGTTCTATGCCTGTTTTAAAGTGCTATATAAATAAATTTGACATTGACATTGACATCTCTCTGTGTGTGTGTGTGTGTGTGTTTAGAGCTTTGTGCGTGGCAGGAGTGTGAGGAAGAGGAGGGACAAGCTGAAAGCTGAAGGCCGAGCTCAGTCCGTGCCCAGAGATGAAATACTGCCTTGTAAAGTAAGTACAGACTATTAAATGCAGAGTGAAGGAGAAAAAACAGGGATGGATAAGAAAAGTGTGGATCTGGTGTTTCACAAAGACAAAAACGTGTAGTTTCAATCTGCGCATAATATTCATTTTAGGACACTAGAATGTCCTAAAATGAATAGACCCCCTCTACTGATGGAGAGGGTGTGTCTTTCTCTCTGAACCAGCCAATAAGAGACTTTCTTCTGATTAAAGTGACGTTTCTTTGATAACCCCTTATGTGCACACACAAATACACATCAACAAGCAATTTCCAGTGCACTCTTCAACTCTAGAGAGATTTCTTCTATTATTCTGCAGACTTAGGCACACCCTGGAAATTAGTTTTTCTTTCATGTATATATAAAGAAATATTATAGAAAGGTTCTCCTAAACTGGGTGCACTATGGAATTTGCAAAGCCAACTCACAGCTCTATTAATGCTAAATGCTAATGCTAAGTGGGAAAACTCATTCAAGTAATAGTCAGGACTATAACAGAAGTCAAACACAGGTGAGCTGGAACCCTAACTGAGGCCTCCACATGGTCCCACAAGTGTCTTTGAGGAGAGACGGGGTCAGATGGGGATTTCTTATGAAGGAACCATCTGCTGAATGGTGGCAGCCTACAGCCATCTCCAGAAGGGAGAGGGGAACCAGAGGCAGTGTGGGGTCCAGGAGCAGGTCTGAGCAGAGCCAAAGGCATGTTTCAGGCCAAAAGCTCTACGGTTTGGCTGTGCTGACCACTCAGACCAAGCTGGGACACAGCTCAGCATCACTAACCCTAACCCCCCGTTCCCATAGGACAGTGGTGCGGACGATAGTCAGAGCAGTGGACAGGCTGCCGGCCGGCCTGCTGGGGCCGTGGACACCAACACCCGGAAGCAGAAGGAAAAGGTAAGAGAGTAAGAGTAAGAGATGTGTAGGGTTTGCTGGAGGGCTTCAGTAGAAGGCTCAGAAGCTTGTGGCTGTGTGGAACTAACGGCTGACTAACGCTGCGGTTCCAGCCCTCCCTGTCCGACCCTCTGCACAGCAGAGAGTTCAAGCAAAGAGAAGCTCTTCGGAAGAGGAAGGGGAAGCTGCACGGAGCCCCCCCTCATGTTCCCCCACACAACTATAAAGCCTATCAGCTCTACACGCTGTACCGAGGCCAGGACGGAAAGATCATGCAGGTAAGGGAACCCTGTGGAGGTCCTAAACAGTTTAACTAGACTGACAGGAGCACCCACCACTTTCCAACACGCTGACTTCTTTTCAGTTCTATTTACATGATGCCAAATCACAATAAACCACATCTACTCTCAATCCAATCCAGTTGGAATCCCACTCATTGTATATAGATGTAATCCATTTGATTCCAGCTCAGTAACCTCCATATTAGGCCAGTTCATTCAAAGCCATTTCAGACTTCTTCCTATCTGAAGAAACCACCAGCTGCAACAGTCCCCACAGCTCTGCTCATAATTAGTATTCTCTAGGTTTTCACTTCAGTTGTTTTGCATGAACCATAGAAAGCTTCAAAAGATCCTTTTAAAAATCTGTAAATAATTGTCTGGAGCAGGTGAAGGAAGTTTAAAACCTCCCTCGGTACTGATGGGATGTCAGATGTAGCCAATCTTTTCACAGACAAAGAAAGCATAGATTGGAAATGCAGCGACCTGTGTTTCACTTATACAATCATTTCCCAGTTGAGGGATCAAGAAAGTAAATCTCATCTTGTCTTATCTTGTGCATGAACAAGCCCTCCTCACTGTTCCATCCATGTGTTTGCTCAGGGCGTAGGGCTGCCCATCCACAGTCAGGAAGTTTAATCAGGAAATCATGTGAGACTAAAATAGTTGTATTTATAGCCTTCCATCGCAGCAGTATGTACATATTTAAGGAAATGATCATCTCAGGCTTTCATGGTAAAGAGTTTTTTTGCTGCTGGCAAGAACGACTTCAGTTTGATTCAGTTTCACAAAGTTGAACTGAAGGCGCTCCAGAGTCATATTCACCATAATTACAGTCATTTTTAAAGTAATGAATTCAATAGAATCTAATTATTGTCAGGCTTGTGTCAGGGTTGGACCCTCAAAGCTCCTGCTGTTGGACCCTAGTAGTTTGTCCATTTATTACTTGGGAACATAAGTGTTCCTTCCAGGCCCTTCACAAGTCCCACTATGTGTCTTAGGGTCTAGTTACCAGCCATGTAGGGCACATAGGCTCAGAGTACCTCAGGAGACGTATAAGAGTAGGTTTAATCAAGTAGAAAAGAGATGACAGGAAAGTTAAATACGTATGTTACATAGCCTGTCAGCAAAAATAGAATTATCCAAAAATGTTGAGGTTGATCTCTGTACAGATCTCTGTGTGTTTGCTTGTCAGGCTCCTCTGAAAGGCTGCCGGTGTGAACCTCTCATCAATAAACTGGAAAACCAGTTAGAGGCCACTAAGGAGGAGATGAAGACCGAGATCCACACCGTCCAAGACCTGATGAACAACAAGATCGGCCAGCTGGATCATAAGAACAAGCACCAGGTGAGAGGCCGCTGCCACTCGCTTTACTGCTCAAGAAAAAAGGAAAGACCCATCCTCCTTCAGAATGAGCCCTTTCTCCACAGCTTTGTGTTTGCCTCTAAAAGCCACAGCCCTCTACAAACAGAAGACCATCATCTTCTGTCCTCAAGATTTCAGAAAAAAAAAGGAAATCCTTTTAAAAGAATCATGAACAGTAGCATTTAGCTGTAAAAACACTTGAGTGGTTTCCCAGAAGCAGAGGCTCCCAGTCTGAACACTAACTTGTTCAGACTGTTTGAGGTCCTGGTTTAAACGCAGCTCCAAAGTGGATCATGAGAAGCATGATCTAACAGCCCGGCAGCATTGTTGCTACAGTAACCAAAGTGTTGGGAAAATTACTATTAGGTTTTTAAATAATCAGTTCAGATAAACTAGATTACATGATGTTTCATTTATTAAACACAAACAAGCAAAATGAAAGAAATAATAGAATTGAATGGGCAGTCTTCAGTGGATGCCATCGCTATGACGGTATGAATTTCTCACATTATTGCAGAGGAATGATCTTTATTCATGATGAAGGCAAAGGCCCATCTCTGTTCAGGCTCCATCACTGAGTGGAGTTGAGTGGACCATGCCACACCTAGTTTCTTTTCTTTTGCAGCTCTCCTGTTCTAGGTTTTCTTTTGCATTTGGGATTGTTGCTTCCTTCCAGCATCAATCTTGACAGAATTAAAGCAGTCACACAGACTGAAACCCATGGAACTGTAGAAGGTTTTGTATCCAGTAAAGTCAGTTCCTGAACGATGGCCTGGCCTAATGGGCAAAATGATAATCCTCTCACCAAAATGTTTGACAGGCAGTGGTGTGGAGGGCTGATAGGATGCTCTGTCTTCACCAAAGGTGTGATTTGGTAACATGTGACCAGAGAACATAGTTCCAGAAGTGCTATGCTCCTCACAGAGTGCTCATCCAATATTTAAAACTGCAATTCTCAGAGAATCTGAAAATAACTAGCTGACTGTAACTTTGATTCACTACTGCCTCCTGTTCTGGAGTCCTTGTTTTTCTTACCCAGATTTAGAGGCCACACATGTTGCTTTTAAAACATCTTAGCTGATGTCTTTCCTCCTTTTCCCTGTTTGTATTTTAACACACAAATAGGACTCTTCCAATCCAGAGTGACTCCACTGTCCAGAGTCTCAGGTCAGGCTAGACATGTTCATGTTTTACTTCTATGTTCTTTGTGGATTTCTGTGAGAAAATGCCACATCCTGATGTAGGAGCTTAGATTGAATGGAGAGACATCCTATGTCCCTGAAAGGTTAAAGCTGCTGCGAGATGAAACAAGTGGTTCATGCATGTACTCCAATCAGCTCTGAGCTGAGCAGGAAGCAGGAAGGTGGAGATCAACATTCAGGGACAGTGCCTGGATACTGATGTATGGCAAACAGAACCCAGTTAGACACTAGGAGAGAGAGAGAGAAAACACCGTGCTCAGAAAGCCGCTGGACAGAACTGTGCAGCATGTTTTGTGTTCCCCTCTGGCCACCAGATCCGAGCGCTGGATAAGATGACGGTGGAGAGGGTGTCTGCGGAGAGGAGCCAGTGTGTGCAGAGGCTGGAGCAGTGGGCCCTGCAGGAGCGCCTGGAGGCAGAGAAGAGACAGGTATCTGTGCTCTGAGGAGCCTCTTCCACACAAACACAGCGTTTGCCATAGCAACGGTCTGTTAGGGCCCCCTGTTCATTCAACTGCTGATACACACAAGTCCCTATCAGAGAAAGGTTCTGATGCAGTTCTGCATATTTGTGACCCAGCCAACAGACAAGAAGACCAAATAATAAAGCCTTTAAGCTTATGGCCTTTGACCTTTGACGGTGAGCCCAAACTAGAGCTGGCTGGTTTTACCTGGTGACCAGTCCAGGGAGCCAACAACCCGCTGCTAGCTTTGATCCACATCAGGACTGATTCAGAGGACACACTCACACATCAGACAGCCAACAGTCTGCACATGAAGCTTTAGAAAGCCTGCAGCTATGCACCCCACTGGCCAGGAGGCAACAAATCCGAAATACTTAGATAATGCCAGAGGGAAAAGATGTGGCCTTTGTCAGAAACAGAGCGCTGAGCAGCACGTGTTGTGTGTCCTTTAAGCAGGAGTCTCTAGTCAGTGAGCTGAAGAGCTGGTGTCTGTCCAAACTGCAGAGCATGGAGGCCGCCCCCCCCCCCTCTGGAGCTGAGCCCACCCAGGACCAGGGCTGCAGCCCCCAGTGTCAGGAGGTCTGCAGTGAGCCAGCCCCCCAGGGGTCCGGCCAGGGGGAGCCCCCCTCTGGGGGGGCTGCAACAGCCAGCCACTACTTTGTGGTTCACATGGCAAACTCTCCAGGTAACAAACTCTTAGGAAGTGGCTTTCTCCAACCCTCAGCCCACATGTGTTTCCAACAGAGAGCGGACCACCGACAAGTGTTTGTTAACGTTTTAACGCAAAAATATTTTCAGTTTTGTGAGCTTGATTAATGATCCGTTTCTATTTATGTCCAGTTTGTGCCATAAGTGCCCTGTGGCTTATTTCTACTTAATCCCAAGCAAAAAGCGTCTGACTGACCCCAATTCTCCTCACTCGTGGACTAATCATGACAGAGTGCCAAGTGTGGGATTCCCTGGTGTGTAGCATTGTGTAACTGTCATTAGACCTAGTGGTGAAGTTTTCTATGTTGTCAGAGGAGGATGCTCTCACCCCAACAGGAAGGTTGTAGATGTGCTGACCAGAAGGATTGAATGCTAAACAAGCCCCCCTCTGCTCCTGACAGATGGAGAAAAGCCCCCCAAAGCCCCAGCAGCAGCCAGGAGCAGCCCCTCCTCTGTCCAGGTGGTCCGGCCAAAGGTGCGCCCGGGCCTCTCCGCAGACACACAGAAGACAGACCAGAGCCGGGACAGGGGACGGCACTCCAGGAGGCATTCAAAGACCAGGACTAAAGCCAAGAGGGCGGGGGGGCTGCGGACGCTGGAGGTGTTTGGGGAGCAGCTCAGCGGGCCCTCCTTCTCCCAGGAGAGGGACAACATGCACGCCCTGGAGGTGACGCAGCACTTCTTCGAGGCCGTGTCCACCCAGATGGAGCGCTGGTACGAGAGGAAGGTGCAGGAGGCCCGCTGGCAGGCTGACCAGAGGGCGCAGGCCGAGAGGACCGCCCTGGTGGAGAGAATAGCCTGTTTGGAGGATGAGCTGCAGGAGCTGAGGACTCACCGGCAGAATGACCGCTAGCACACATCAGAAACCTCTGGACCTCTGTGAGAGCAGCTCTGAAACATGAGGACATACGCCCAGGAAAGGAGCAGAGGGATGGGATTGGAGGCTGCCCAAAGAGCTCCAACCGGACATGGTGGTGTTCCGGTGCATTGTCTATGGAGACTCAGGTCCTTGTCGATCAGAAAGGCCTACAAAGTCCTCAGCACATGCAGCTCAACGTGAAGCTACAGGAGATGTCCAAACAAAGTTCAGTGGAGGTGGGGATAGAGTGGAACCCATCACAGCCCCCATAGAGTAGGGCTTCCATCCACATGCTAAATGAATCCAGGCAGGCTGGAAATACTCGTGTGTGTGATGGGATGTGGAAGCACTGTGGGATCCATGAGGGAATTATTGCAAACTAACTTTTTTTGTAGTTACTTCTGAAATGGAAATGGAAGAGCTACTGAGGGCTAAATATTTACCAAGCACCTTTTTTCATTCAAATACATTTCTGACATTGCTTTGAGCCCTGTGAGTTACCCAGGATGCACCGGTGTGGACTCATCCAGCTCATGGGAACCCTGAGAGCTCAGTTCTGAAGCTGCCTCAGTTCTGAAGGGGCTCTTAGGACTTCACCACTGGATAAACAGCATAGTTACACGCACAGACCATTGTCCAATGAGATGAGAGGACTGAATGGTGAGAAGGACGGAAGAAGCAGACAAATATGAACAAACTACACTAAGAAGTTTAGAGAAATGTGTTTTATGTAGTAGCAAAAAGAATACGTAGTACTGGGTGGCTGACCATGAAGCAGAGGCCTGTGGGGGTCAGGGATCTGAAAGCTGAGGGGGCTGCTGCTGGGTTGGTTGTAAAAGGGAAAAGAGACAGTGTTAGGGCAGTCAGCAAATGGAACCGACACCCCAGTGGTTCCACCGTGTCCCAGGACCCTCTGCCACCTCTGTCCTGGGGGGTTACTGTGCATCCAAGTAGGGGTTGATTGGCAGCACAGATGCTGGCTGATTTCCCTTTAAGAGCCCACTAAAGAAATGCTCACAGCCATCTTGAGTTGACAGTTTTAATAAGCTGACATAGTGGGAAGTTTTTAGCCATCTGGCTAATACAGAAACATGTGGATGTGAGCCGGGAGTCTGCCTTCATTAACATGCATTCACACTTCACTGGCTGGACTAAAGCATGTCTAATTAAAGGTAGATGGAGTCCTGAGGCCCCTTCCACGTTAGTGAAGCAAACGCGGGTCGTCAGGGCCACGGCCCAGCCTGGAAACGCTCATCTGGACAAAGGTGTTTATAGGTTTGGATGGACTAACCATATTTAGTGTCCTCTAGTGTCATGTACATGTGTTGTCTTGACGTTGCGTTTTTTTAAAAGTCGTGTGGAACTTAAAAGGACATTTAAACTTGAATATTTTGCGAGAAGAAAGCTGAGCTGTACATCATCATTTTTGTTGACATGACTAATGCAGTCTAACCATGAGAAGAAGCATATTTTGTATTAAAAAGACAACTGTCATGGTGTGTGTCATTTTATTGGTTCCTCTTTGTACTGTGTCCAGAGGCAAACAGCACACTCAGTCACATTACCCCAAACCCCTCTGCCTCCAAAGGTGCTCCCACAGAGTCCAGAGCAGTGTCCGGCGTCAGCAGCTCAGCTTCTGGCCAAAGCCAGGGACTTCTGCAGGGTCTCCAGGTGGTTATTGGCCTGAGTGATCATCATGCGGACGGCGTCCTGAGCACAGAGAGGGTTAGCGTGGCAGGACTGTTGTTGTGATTTGGCGAAAATTAAATTGAAAATAATACATAACAAGGCAAATATTTTGGTGGTAAGAGAGGCAGAAAGAGCAGGGAAGAATGTTGAATGTTGAGATTAGGTGGAGAAGTTGTATGAAATTGAACGAAGGGCTGGTAATGTGGTGGTTAGCACCATTCCCTCACAGCAAAAGAGTTCCTGGTTTGAGTTCCTGGGGGGATCGGGACCTTTCTGTGTGGAGTTTGCATATTTTTCCTGTTTCTGCGTGGTTTCCGTACAGGTACCCCTAGAGCCCGATCAGGAACCGGACTCGGGGCTACAGCCCGAGCAGGAACCGGACTCGGGGCTAGAGCCCGAGCAGGAACTGGACTCGGGGCTAGAGCCCGAGCAGGAACCGGTCTCGGGGCTAGAGCCCGAGCAGGAACCGGTCTCGGGGCTAGAGCCGGAGCCAGAGAAGCAGAAGGAGCCGCTGGTTCCGCTTACCGGGTTAGTTGCGCTCTTGTTCCTCTGGAACTCGTCTCTGGCCCAGTCTCGCAGGTACTTCCGGTCGGACTCGTCCGGCACCTGTCGGATGGTTCTTAGCAGGTTTCGGTAGATGCCCAGCACCCTCTGCCTCTGTAGGAACTGGGAGAAAGGTTAGGGTTAGGGTTAGGACTACGGCCCTCCCTTCTTTAGCTCACCTGTTTAAAGGACAGCGCGGCCGGTGGTAACCTTGACACCGTCATCTTCCACAGTCCCACAGACGGGCGCCCTGCCCGCGGGCTCCCCCTGGCGGAGCGGGGCGGGAAGGCCCGAAGAGTCGGGGGCGACGGGCTCCCCCTGGCGGAGCGGAGGGGAACTGCATGCCAGTACACTGAGGGGTTGGTGTTGGGGGCCAAACCAGACCCATCCATAGATCCATCCATTATCAATACCGGAACTGGAGCTTATCCCAGTGGTCAACGGGCAAGAGGCAGGGTACACCCTGGACAGCCCGCCAGTCCATCGCAGGGCAACACACAGAGACACACAAGGACCAACAACCACTCACACTCACATTCACTCCTAAGGGCAATCTCCCCAATCTCCAATCAGCCTAACATGCAGGTTTTTGGACTGTGGGAGGAACCCGGAGATAACCCACAGACACAGGGAGAACATGCAAACTCCACCCAGAAAGGTCCTGGTTCCCCCGGGATTCGAACCCAGAACCCTCTTGCTGGGAGGCGACAGTGCTAACCACCACAGGGCCCCCAAACCAGCCCCCTCTGAAGTAAAAACCTTTGGTTGGTAAGTACTCTGGAACGGTTCAGGGCGGGAAGGCTGTGAACGCAGACCCAGCAGCCCTTCATTTCAAGGAAATTCATGTCGGAACTGACTAGATGGATAAAGTACACTGACCAGATGGATAAAATGAGACACTTGTGTGCATACTGACACCTGTTACCAGTCACAGTGATGACCTACATCCCGGAGAAAAGATGAGCAGAGCAACTGCCCCAATACTTTTACAGGACTTCTGTATGAGTGAGTCTTTAATACAGGTTGGAGCGGCGCTTAGATGGAGCTGGAATGAAGCCTCCTGTAGCCACAGGGCTGTATGTTTTAAGTCCTTCACACACAGGAACCAGGCCAACAACATGCACTTTCTACCCTCCAGACATCACTACCACCTTCTTTATTTTTTCCATTTCAGACATTCAAAACAAACATTATAAAATAATCTGATTTGCAACGATGAAGGCGACACCAACAGTAAAAAGACATCAAGGCACAATCCTGCTGAAGTCAGTCTCTTTCTCCTCGGCCGGAGGGGCTGGGGGGCAGTTGGCCAGGGGGCTGCTGCCTCTCTGGCCCTCTGGTGCCAAACGGACGCTCACTGGTCAGCTGCAGTGACCAGTTCAAACCACTGGCGCAGCGCGTCGCTCAGGGTCTCTGGCAGGGCGTTGACGTCTCTCAGGATGACGTAGAAGGGGAACGGGAACTCGTCCATGTAGGAGCGGATCTCTGGGAGCTCCCCTGGCCCTCCGAAAATGGGCACTTTGATGTCCAGGATGGAGTCCTGAGGGACAGCAGGGCGTGAGCAGGTGCACAGGTCAGAGAAA